GGTGACAGAGCCAAGTAAATGAATGGAACCAATAATTCCTGCAAGTAAGGTAGTAAACGTCACAACGACGTAGCATCATTATCCACAGAAACACTGGCCTGTTGTACATGACAGCTTATTTTCCCCAGTTAAGCCTCACCGAAGTCAATGAAAGTCTTGTTGATCCCATAGGTTTTTGAGGTTAATAATTAAATTCTTTGTTCTTTCAATGTTCGTACTTCCAAATAACTGGGTAGATGTTCATCGCAGTCCATTTTATTCATAAACCACCAACACTTTATCGCAGACGTCTGAATGTTCGGTAGGAAAATGATCGATATAGCTTTCGGGCCTTTCTGATTGGAAACTGTCTACGGATTGAAAGGCCGCATCATTTCCGTATTTTTAGGGGAAATATCGGTAGCACCTTTCATGGCACAGTAGAGTAATGTAGGGTTGAGCTTTTTTTCAAACCTAGCCAACGCGTTTAATTCACATCGTCTTGTGAGTGAACTGTTCCGGATCTGGGTATATTTGGTAAGGAAGAAGTTCGACCTGGTAACTATTTCAAAATACTCACTTTCTCCTGTTGCAACTGCGCCTCTTTACTCTTAAGCAGTTTTATTTATGAACTTTATGCCGATGCATAAACAGTTCCTCGGTCTGTTAAGAGGCCGATAGGGCAGTTTCCAGTTAAACCCAAGACTTCGTTTCTACAGTGGATGAAGTCCTAAAATTCTGCATCACTTAGTATGTCTTAAGTCGTCATTGGTTCTGAGTGTCCCTATTGTAGAATTCCTCCATAGCCTGCTGACTTTCAGCCAATCCGCAACCTGTATTCTGTCAACGATAAACGGACGATACTTGAACACTGTCTGGCATGTGCTTTATCCAGGATGGCTCTGGGTTCGTCACTGTAGAGGTTTCATTGCAAGAAACCATCCATTTTGCCTCATTTAAGCCCTTCTGTGGATATGCGCTTAGGGAAGGCTGGATTGTAGGAATGTTGCACCTTAAGGTCTGGTGCAGATTTCAGCTGTGAAGGTAAATACCCGGTTATCGTAAAGTTTAATTTAAGAACACGGTCGCCTATGCATAACTAACCACAGTTTCTACGGGTTAAATTCGAGTCACTTCATGTTGCGCCATGCGCTTTTATATCCAGATTCCTCTTGCTTAAATGAACAGTGATTGCAACATAACAGTTCTCAACCTGGTGTAGATGAGTAACGCACTCACGAAAATTTTCATCGGGGATTTGACATAATTTTCCAGCGGAATGACTAATGGATAAAATTGAGGGCTTACACGTGGTGAAGATTAGACACAGTGGCTCCTAGCTAGTAAGCGTCTGTGTGAATGACAATCTCCTGGTTGAAAACACCAGCAAAAACACTCCTTTAGGAAAACGTAGCCGTGCATAAATAAAATGCTGCTTGATAAATACACAGCGACTGTCAGTATACGTGTTTGAGGCCCTGCATGGTTACTGAGAAAACAGAATTCCGGATCGCGGGTAACTGTTTCCCCGGTGCACCAAACCCATTTGTCAGGCACTCAAATTCATTGATCGATAACGGATGCATGTATATATATGGTTTTCTTGTCTTTTTTGATGTTGAAAAATGAAGTAATTCTGGGAGGCATACAGTGTTCATCCAAATCTCCTGAAGCAATTAAACTCGGGACATGCGAGAAAGGATTCATAACATCCTCTGGTGTAGAGAAAACCAAGTGGGCCTTTCGATAATGATAGGTAGTATCCGAAACACCGGTGGACACCCACTTCCCTGACCCAATATTTTTCAGAACGCGTCACAGAGAAGACACACAGAGCCAAGCTCAGAACGTAGCAGGTCATGCTTCAGACGCAGCTTGGTTAGGTCTTTGAGTGCTTCTTTTGCTGAAGTGGTTTGAATTTTTTCAGGGTTCGTTAAATGCTTACGATGTGGGAGTTGGTCGAATGGGGGTAATGATAGCAACAGTTACCACTCCTTACTTTACCCATTTAACCGCAATATGTAACTGTTTATTTGCTTCGTACATCAGTTAACAGTCAGATGAGCCAATGGTCCCACTGCCTCTGATCACGGAGCCTCCCAAAATGGATGCCCAATCTATTCTGTCGTCAATCGTCCGGAACGGAAAACAAGAACCTAGTTACGAGAACTTGGCTCGAGGGCTCGGAAAACCTGTTTTTATTGTAATTATCGAGCAGTGTAAATTTAGAACCATAAGGAACAAGACTCGCTAAGTCTGAAGCACTAAGTCTCAGATTTCTGGTCTGCTAAAACTGCAGAGGATATCTGGATAAACAATCCAACCCGAGAGACCACTTTACCTAACGGCAACACATCCATAATAATGCTACGCGACGGATTTCTCTAGTTATTTGTCTTGTATCAATCCACCTAATAGAAGGCAATCAGCAGCAAATGTATCTCCCTGACAATGTTGCATACTTTAATGTGAAGTCTATGAAGTTTTACATATGTGTGATATTCACCACTGTTGAACGACGATGCTTCCAGTCCTTAGTTACTTACACCACAACAAATATTTCCAGTACTACCAATCTGAATTGCTGGAAAAGGTAGCACTTGAAGAGCGAGAAACGCCCGCACTTAGACATTCACCTGAATTAAATGATTGTATGGATGCTTACTTATTCCTGAAATCATTGAAGTAAGTTATTGTTGGTCAATAAATCTACGAACATGGGAATTGCTGTTAAAATAGGCGTTTACCTGACGAAACACTTGGTCTGGTAGATGGGTCAATCATGTCGAATACTCACAACTCAAACACCAAATATTGCGCAGTTTGATGTGAAGAAAGAATTGTAAGCAGAGATGACTTAAACTCAGAACGATGTGTATGTACTGTAAAGTGATATTTTCCCGCTACTTTCATAACAGACGCTTGGTATCATGATAGAGTCTAATTTCCTCCCTCTGTGTCATTCAATACTGCTAGAACCTTTTATGTTTCTCTGCAATTATCGATTTGATGAGGCCTGTAAAGTGGCTTCTCTCGTGTTAACTTCATAACTTGAGAGTAAAGATATTTATTTATTATTCATTCATTATTGTTCTAAGAGGAATGATAATAAGGAATGTGACCTGACTGGAAGAATAAATGGCGGTTCTACACAAAATGAAGGCAACTTTTGCATTGAGGCCCACCCTCTTCTAAAGCCAGTACGAAACCAGCCCCTAGAATGGCCGGTTTGGTCACTGATCAATGGGAAAGGGACTTGAGTCGTGAGGATCTGGACCTCAGTATCTCAGAAACTTGGTCAAGCATTCACATAGAGTTCATTGCCAGCCCGATTAATCCAAACAGTGACTAGCGGAATTGGCAAACTGGGCCGTGTGAATGAGCCCCTAATAGCTAAACGGAGAAAGCAGTTTGCACTCACAGGGAGGATAGCATCCAAAGAATGGATTACAGCTCATCCCCTTTGACATTAGGGGAACAGACCCTTCTCTGTCGGCCGATTGTGAAGAATACTATCCCGTCCAGTCGAAAGATGTATGCGGGCCTTTAGGAATCTTTCCCTTCAGTCCAACTAAGAAACATCCCGCTCCAGGCAGGTACCCCCTCAAAGACTCCCCGAGACCTTTCAGGGTCTGTTTGAACAACAATCGTCATTCTGAACGCATCCAATTGATAAGCTATCAATCAGTATACCTCAGACATTCAGATACTGGGGTCAGACATGTTTGACCCTGATCAGTGAGAAAACCGCTCCTCAAAAGTAGGAAAATCCACTCCATAAAAGTACTCTGTTCAGTAATCTCCTACAGGACTACTGGATATGAATATGGCGTAAACTGGCAGAGGCATTCAGTGGACGAACTTCAAGTCGTTGATGTGAGAGCGGAAAATATCCACCCTAATCCACAGCGGATTTACCTAGGTTCCTTCAAGTAATCCTTGACTTTCTGAGCATGGTTATGACAGTTTCTGAGTTGGACGCTTCCTCCAAGGATATCAGGATCGGGAAGCGTAAACTGAGAGGGTGGAGGCAAACGGAGAGAAGGTTGGTGCACTTGACTCCGGCAAACACATGTCTAACGACTGAGCGGCCAGGAGATGAACGGGGGTTTTTCTCTGCTGAATCCTAGTTACAAAACTCCTGTGCTAGTTGCCAGACTAGTAGGACCAAGGACTTGGATAATGCTATTTTTCTATCCTCATCGGTAACAAACCTCGACAAAGCCAGTGCTTTATGAGCTAGACCCACTACTGGAACTCCAGGCCTTCTTATTCTGACTAGCTTTATCTACGGCAATTTGCGTGTTTGGATCTCCAAGATACCTTAGACAGGGCCATTGATTGAGGATGACCGTCGTAGCACATAACAAAATTCTTAATGAACTCAACTTTACTCGACGGGACAAATGGGAAAAATCAGGACAAGGCGTCACTCTACGTACCTGTCCCTCGTCGAACACTAGTGGGATTTCCTTCTCAATGACTGGTTCTCCGGATACACTTCGGCTTACCGTTTTGTCGGAGTTTCAAATTACCCTCCCGGAGTCAGCGCGACGTCTAACCTGAACACGATACATGAAAAGGGCCTTTCAACCTGAAACCTCCTTGGCCCTTGATTACAGGTAACCCTAAGATATCTTAGTTATTCACCACTACTAGTCCGTGTGCTCCTGCAAGGAACTTTCCCTAACCGGCGTTGGAAAACTGCTTCAGTGAACATGTGTCAACGGACTCCCTGTGGTTGTGTCAGTGAGGCGTCCTCACTTGACTGCATCCTGGAAAATTATTATGGGTCGCCCTGCTTAAAGAACCGGTCACGCATTCATTCTCGTCAACATTTCTTTATCTAAGTCACCTGTGATCTGCCTATTGAATTAATTATCTATGCCCCATAAACTTCTCCGAAACAAGAAACCAACTGAATACTCCTCGTTAGTGAAAATATTCTAATCGAAAAGACGAAAAACCCAAGGAACAAATATTTCTTATGTCTACAACACGAAGTTTAAAGCTTACACGTTAGCGGGTCTTCTGTCAAGGTCGTGCGGGAATTTTGTCTGCAAACCAAAATGCAGAGTTTACAAAACACATCACAGATTCACTCGACTGCGGGCGCGGTACCTGTTAAAAATGAAAAAGGTTCGATAATGGTTAATTAATTGTGTGTAGGCCAATTTTATATGGTTAAGGTGAAAGTACAGCGTTATGTTGCTGGGAAAAAGCCGGACTTTGCCTCGAGCTCAAGTTCTGGTTCAGACGAGGAACAGACGGTGAATGACACTGAAGAGATTAAGGCATTCACATCACGACCTGGTTTACTAAGGGATCGTTTGAGAGGACAGGAGCATGCAAAATCCACAGTGGATGGTGGTGAGCAGCCAACTGCTGAAGAATTAGCTGATCCCAGATTTAGAAGACTAATGAGAGCAAAGGTGAGATTCATTATTTTCCCTAATGTTAAGTGCATTACTGTTCGGTTGTCTCGTCGTTGATACAGATAAGATGTGGATAGTAAGAAAAAGTTCTAGACACTAATTGTTTGCTGAACCTAGTCTCCAAGACAGAGGACATTAAACTAATCAGCTCTAGTAACCCTTACTAATAGTAATACTTAAGAAATCCAATTTCTCTTTGTATGTGTCAGCAAAAGGTCTAGGTGCTGTGGTACAGCAAAGTTCCGGTGGTTCGTAACTGTGCGGAACGTATTTCTAGATATAGACGACTCGATTATGCTCCGTGAACTTTCCGATGATGCCTACTAAAATGAACAGTTAAAGAGCGAAGGCATAAGTAACATAGGTTAGGTTGTTAATCATTAATGGAGATATGGTACGTTCGGGTGAATAATCCCTCATCTTACAGTAACGAAATGGGAAAAGACTAATCCATCCTTTTTTGTAAAAGAGGTTGGAGGTCCCTTTGGTGAGCTTGTTCCTTTTCCTTTAGATCCACTCTCATAAACTACCTTCATATAAGAGAAATAAAGTAGTACATATGTTGAATATACGGTCCGAAACATGTTCTCGAAAGAAACTCGGAAAGGCTTTTTGGGATGACCAGAGGATTTAAAAGTCTTCAACATCTACCACTTTAAAGTTAGCTAATTTTCTGACGTCATGACTAATCACGGGACTTCATTCCTTGCATTTGGTTACTTAAGACAGCAGCATACTAACCAAGCAACTATGTGAATCTTCGTGGCCTATTCACACAACTTTGCTTTCGGTGGCATACCTTTTCACGCACCATCTCATAGACCAGTATACTAGGATACTCAAGTCATCCTATGGTAGCAGCCTGTCGTCATCACTAACTTGGTATTCGAGGCTTGACATCGTCTGACAGGCCTCAAGCAGATGTCCGATGGGCTCTGTGGTCACACAAATCTCTTTCAGGTACTTTAAGAAGAAATAGCTTTCCACGGTGTGGGCAGCAGGGAAGTGTCAACCGCCCTCACAACTCTGTCAGCACCCACGTTTCCTCAGACTGCTATCAACCTTCCCCATCATTACTTTCTAATCTTCCTTCACGTCTCTCAACTAACGATACTACATCATCAATTTCTCCTAGCTCTGTATCCTTCGACAGCGATCTGAGTCCACAAAACAGCATCACTGGTCTCCTTAAACTAGGCTCCAAATTACATATTAGAGCCTTCAATGTCTGCACCCTCCGTCAAATTGGTTAACAGGCTTCGTTGGCAAAGACCCTAGCAACTCGGGGCATGCATGTGTGCTGTGTTTGTGAGACACGCATACAGGACTTAAGTGCAGTTATTCACCTGACCTCTCCCGGCCAATCTGGTGAATCCGCGAAATTCACCCTTCGGGTTTCTGGAGATTCGATGGCTAGCTCTCGTGGTCTTGCAGGTGTAGGTATAGCATGAAGCACTGGGGCAGAATACTCACTATTAGACTGGATCCCAGTTGATAGTCACCGCTGCGCTATGCGACTAAACGGCACAGTGAGAATTAAAAGGAATAGTGAGACTCATCGTTGTCTCTTTGTAGTCTCTGCTTACGCACCCACTGACTGTAGTTCGGATGAAGTGAAGGACTAGTTCTACCGTAAACTGCCTAGCCTCCTCTTGAAAGCCAAATGTCTGGACGTGGTGGTTGTTGCAAGTGACTTCAATGCATAGGTAGGTAGACTGAGTGAGGCAGAAAGACACTTAGGTGGCACTTTCGGAGTCTTGGCTGAACGCACAGGCAACGGTGGTCGCCTACTACAACTGTGCTCAGATAACCGCCCATTTTTAGCTTATAAACTTAAGGGCATAAAGAAAGACACTGTCTGATGTGGCGTCCACCGAGTTCAACTCAGCGATGAGCACAGATAGATCACATTGCTATTAGTCATCGCTGGAGAGGATCGGTGGAAGACTGTCGCTCCTTCTGAGTACGTATTTGGACAGCGATCATGTGTTGGTCTGAGCACGTATATGTCTGTGTCTCAATGGACGTAAGGAAAATTTGGCAACAAAACCACTACGAGAGCTGGTGGACAACGAAAACACCAAAGCCGTGTTCAGTGAGAAGTTGGCTAGGCAGTTATCGGAACAAAAGACTGTCACTCATCCAGAAGAAGCTTGGTGCCATCTTCAGTCTGCTGTAAAAGCAGCGTTGAAGACTGTAGGCGACTCCAAACTAGTGGCTAAAAAGAGCCATTGGGTATCGGCAGCTTCTTCCGAACTAATAGATGCACGTGAACGCATCCCTGCAGGCTCTGATTACAATGAAGAGCGAGCGCAACTTAAAAGTAGACTGATGAAAAGTCTAGGCAACGATCGCGAACAGTGGTGGGCAGCGAAGGCTAAAGAGATGGAAAAGGAGGCGGCGATTGGTAACAGTAGACAGTTATTTAGACTTATTAAGGAGACTGAGGGGAAAACGTCAACTGCGGTTAGTGAGACCATAGTGAAGAAGGACGGATCTGCTATTCACTCACAGGGGAGACGACTGAGACGATAGGCAGAACACTTCAAGGAGCAGTTTAACTGGCCTCTAGCCACCACCGCGTTGCCCGCTATCCAGCCGGATCCTCAATGGGACATAGAGATAGGTCCCCCAACACTAGCAGAAGTCGAAAAAGCGGTAGGTAACCTGAAACGAGGAAGGGCGGCAGGACCAGATGGACTACTTGCTGAGGTGTACAAGAATGGTGGTGGAGTGCTCTTAGTCAGACTAACGGAAGTGTTAGCTAGTATATGGGAATCAAATACGATCCCATCTGACTGGTCTAAGTCACTCATTATCCCAGTCTTCAAGAAAGGCGAGAAGTCCTCTTGTGATAACCACAGAGGAATCAGCCTGACGAACATAGTGTCCAAGATCCCAGGTTCAACAATTCTTCGACGTCTCAGTGGAGCTCGGCAACATCAAGACTGAGAAAACCAGGCAGGTTTCAGAACTGGCCACGGGTGTATCGACCAAGTATTCAGGCTACCCAGGTCCTGGAACACAGACACGCCTAACGACGCCCAACACTGGCTGTATTTATCAACCTGAAGGTGGCATTCGACTCGGTTGATCGAGAAGTCTTATGGCAATGTCTCTCAATGAAAGGCGTGCCGAGTAAGTACATCACTTTATTGAAGGCTCTACTCGAGGACTTGTGGGCGTCTTTGAGCCTATGGTGAGATTTCCAGGGAGCTATACTCATCGAGTAGTGTCCGTCAAGGATGTCCACTGTCTCCATTCTTATTCAATTTTATCATAGATATTCTTATGAAGGTCTCCCTCTCATCACCTGACTACACAGAGTTTGACCTAATCGGTGGAGAATTTTCGTTAGACGTAAAATATACAAATGACATTGTCCTGTTAAGTGAGGACGCTGACAAGACACAGAGTCTTCTGAACACTTTCAGTGGGAATTTGAGAATCTTCGGGATGCGTTTCTCACCACCCAAATGCAAATTGTTGCTCCACAATTGGTATTCAACAGTGCCCCACCGACGCTAACAATACAGAGTGAAGTGACTCAGTGTGTTGACCACTTCACTTACCTGGGAAGTAGGATCAACCCCAACCTGGTGGCTCAGTGGCCGATGAAATCTCTGCACGGACGCATAAGGCTCGGTTGGCTTTCGCCAACTTACGCCACCTATGGCGCCGCCGTGATATCCGATTGTCTATTAAGGGTGATGTGTACTGCACAGCAGTCCGCTCTGTTCTATTGTATGACTGTGAAACATGGCCATTGAAGGTAGAAGATATGAGAAGGCTTCAAGTGTTTGACCACCGTTGTCCTCGTAGTATAAGCCATATTCCGTGGTGTCACCATGTGAGTAATGCAGAAGTCAGGTATAGAGTTTTAGGGAGAAGAGGTGAGTCAGTTGACGAGGTTATGAACCTTCATTGACTGAGATGGTTGTGACACCTACTACATATGCCTAGTCACCAATTTCCTTGTCACACAATGTTGGCTGAAGTAGGTTTAGGCTGGAGAAAGGCTCGAGGTTGCCAGACTAAAACATGGCATCAATGTATGAAGTCTCTGACTGTTGGTTTGAGCTGCGTGGGGCAGTGTAGACAAGCCGGTTGGGGTCCGTGGAACAGGAGAAAACAGTGCCTTGAGACTGACTTTAGGTGATATGGCTCAGAACGGATGTCAGTGGCGCAGATGTATACAGATATTATCCTCATCTTAACGACGCTATACCCAGTCTCACCATTTTTTCATTCTTCCTTCCTCTCTTCTCATACTTTATATTTCTTTTGACTGGAGTTTCGAATCTTCATCCTGCACTTCACTACCTTTTTACTTGAAGTGATGATATGAGGTGTGGCAACTCGGAGTGTTACGCAGTAATGTCTGGTCCTATGTTTATATTGATGATGGTGATGATGATGATGGGCGGGTCATCCATGTAGGTTAAGAAAAATGGACCCAGGGTAATACTTTAGGGCACTCCACTCATAACCTACCGCCTTGGAGACTAAGCTCCATTTACCTTCACTGTTTTCTATCGTAAAAAGTCTTTGATCTCGTTCTGAACTACGTCATGGATTACAAACCCTTATAGCTTCTTCAGGCCTAGGGGAGAGACTTTGTCAACGAATATTGCATCATTTGGAACATTTATGTTGCTGATGGAAGCTTAATCGTCTCTCGTACTGATAAAACTTTTTAGACATTAGTGGTCAGCCATAGACGTATATTTCATACCTAAAAGCTTGTTCCCGTCAAGATGCAATAGGGTGGCATTACCTGTGGTCTTTTCTAAAAGTCTAACTACTCAGCTAATTAGATTAATCGGAACACATCTAGTTATTAGACGTGTATGGTTGGTTGTTTTGATCGGGTTGATGATATCATTTTTCCATATTGAGCGACCTCGATGGATTCAGTGATATATTAAACAGCAAGGAAATCCTTTAGTGTTGATATGCCACGATGTAGCGTATTTGAACCACAGCCTGTCTAGGTTGAGATTCTGGAGTAGTCTCAAGGAGTCTTCACTGAGCGTTGACTCGATTCGTGGCTTGTCAATAAAAACAGTTTCCTAGGATCACATCCAGCCCTCAGGGAATACTTCGCTGAAGTGCTGTAATGAAGCCTCAACCTTGGTTTTATTATTATTATCATCATCAGCTGTTCGCATCGAATCTTTATGCGTCATCAGGGCTGGAATACTTCCGTTCCTTTTAGTTTTTCTTTTAATTTAGGTCTAACGTCTTTGAATGGCATTAAAAATTGTAGAGAGCTCCTCATATATCAAATTAGATATTCTGATCAGGCTTTTAAAAGAATTTATAACTTAATAATACTCTAGTGTAAGTTGATCGTAAGGATGTTCCACAACCTTCTCTTCCGACGGAGTTCTTTGTTGGTTCGTCTAGTTATCTATGCTGGATAGTTAGTAGGTCTACGTGGGAATAGCCGAAGTAAGGGTATGTAACTGTCCCAAATCGACACCATGCATTGTCAAAAATGGTCACACCAGCACATCAGCTAATCTATAAAGTATGCTCTCTTACATCTGTTTTATTCGGCCGCCAGACATTCGATGTTGGAAAGGGTAGTAGACCATATCACAGACTCTAATCTAAACTAGTGGCGGTGTGTAGTAACTGTTCGCTACCGAAGAAAAAACATTTAGGCTGTATATGTCATGCACCTCATTTGTCGACACAAAATGTACCAAAGAAAATCCGTAACTAGAATCAATGCTTATGCCACTCAAGACACTATCAGAGCAAATTCAACTTGGGCTCTTAATAATAATAATAATCAAGAAACAGGTTGTCCTTATGCAGAAAGTATCAGTTCTAACGTGCTTGGTAAATGCTACACTATGTGGTGGGTCAAAAAGGAAACTAAGAGTTTTGTTTGGTATTCAGAACGAATTTAGGAACAGATGGGCATTGAAACTCCCAATTTCAATCATATACTATGTGAGATCATGTTTAAAGGTAAAGTCAATCGATAGTAGTCATTTAGAATATCAATCAAAATAAAAGCTCGGTATGATAGGTATCAATAAAATAAACTGGATAGACCGTGACTAACTATTTTCTAAAAACGTCAGGAATCGCATTTTAGATTCCTTATCTAGTAGAGCGTAATGAGTTTGTATGTAATCAAAAAACACGAATAGTTACATTGTTTTTAAAGCGGTTGGTATTTATATATCATAATGTGGGTTTTTGGCCATCAATTAGGATTTTGTAAGTCACAGTTAATTTCCACTCCTAACTGTACAACTATAACTAAAGTGTCTAGCAAAATATATTGACTCACAACAGATATTGTTGAACATTACATGATATTAAGACTTTTTCATCATTCCAAATGATATATTCGGATCTTTTCAGCATATATTAAATATTTATGGTCCACAAAAACAATCCCTCGTAGCTTTCTTTCTGACTCGTTTCATCGCTACATAAAGTGGTTTTGTCTTATTAAGTTGCTGTCTTGAAAGTAGCTTTGATAATCGATTGACATTGCTCGAAGAATCAAGAATTTGGAGGCGCTGGACAGCTATTTCATTCTAGTTTGGGACTTCCTAGCATCGCGCAACCCCGACCCCGGGTAAGGATCGCGTCTAAGGCCATCATGTCACGGCGAGTGCTCTCACGCTTTTTGTGGTTCCCCGGCTGATGTGAATCCATTATGAGGACTTTCGCATCAAGAATCCCCTACAAACTAAATAACAGATGGTGTTCCGTTCACTGCCTAGAATCATTCAGTCAGTCAATATCAATATGAGACCTGGAACTAGTGCGTAACGGTTGAAGTGAACACTTCATAATAGCGAGAATGCGCCGTGATCAGAGGCAGAAGTATTGAGTATTTTCCGTTTGTGTTGTTGGTCAAATAGACGAGCAGAAAATGTTAGGATGTGACACGGTTATGTAGCAGTTTAGGTTGAAACACTTCTGCATACTAATAGGATATACACCAGGTAAGACAAAAGAGGTCGGAGCACTAAAACTTAATATTGGAACTTGTTGTACTTAATGAATATGACGTTGATTGAATGATACCACTTCTGAGTATAACTGATTTGTAGGGAAATAAAGTGTTGAAAAAGCTTTTTTCGATATACTTAGATTAAATTTTGAAGTTACTGTATCTTTATAATATTCACCTTAAAAATCCTTCTTTAACTGTTTAAAGGATCAGCTTAGTCAAAGTAGTGAAGATGAAGAAGAAGCTGATAGAGTTACTCGTCACAAAAAATATCGCAAATCAGGTCACTATAGCGAAGAAAGTCCTCAAAATTCCGACGCTGAGGACGCTGATGAAGAAGATGTGGACGAGGCTGAATTAATGAGAAGGCGTGAGGTAGGTTGTTTTTACGCATTAGTTGCATATTTTGATGTTTTTTGCTCTCACTGACCTGCCTATTTGAAATGGAATGTGCGGTAAACAGGAGCTCTACCCATTTTGTATTTTGCGTGCTGTCTAATTTACCAAGTATTTCACGATCGTATGTTTTCTACTGTTACTGTCAATCGTTGTTACGTTTGTGCATTCTTCATTTAGCTGTGATCAGTAGAAATCCTTTCGAAAATACCTGAGGTCTTACGCATTTCTTAAAGCTACGTAAAATACGCATTTACATAGGCTACATAATCACCTCAGATAAATCGGAAACGCCAATGGCCAAAATGGAGAAATGTATGAAATATGGTCTACATCTGGCATTCCAGAAGAGGATATGGAATAGTAAAGAGGAATTTCTACGCATAATAGAGAATCAAGTAAAACTGATAGTCGTTGATGCTTCCGAAAAACCACTTGTATCTTTCTTGGATCATAAGATACTCAGAAATTTTACTCCCCACACTTTTTTTATTGTAGGCATCTGAATAATATCCGAAATGTTTTGATGGCCTTTCAGAATGAGTGGCTAGAATGTTAAGTGGAATACCAGTAAGAACATTTCAGCTGTCCTACAGCCACTTCATTTCAACATCCCACCCCAGCATGAATAGGACTCTCTTTTTCAGGCCACTGATTGTGAAAGAAGTTTGTTATGGCCTTAAAACTTCACTCCACCTACAGATGACTGGGCAACCGGCTAGTACAGTTAACCGTCACCGTCACAAAACAGGTGTGATGCACCGCCAAGCGTAAAAACCTGCCTATAGTCACAGTTATACTAATGATTAAGATGTTAGTCCCTCAACTCACCGAAGTTGGGAAAGCTGTCTTAATCTTAAGACAAAGCAGACCGAAAGAAACTGATGGTCCCCTTCCTCCGAGAAGTTTCTGAGGATGATGGTCGAGAATTATTGATGAGAATAGCCGAGTTACAAGCAAGATCATGTGAACCAGATACGGGCTACGGTTCAGCAGTCAGAAGTTGTCCCATCTCATATGAGCCACCTACAGCAAGAAGCCTGGAATCACTGAGGGTCTGTGAAGTAGATGATACTCCGATCTACAATCTTGTTAGATACCTGTGATTCTGGCCAGAGCACTTCAAGCAGCAGTTCAGCTGATCTACTACTCCAGCAACACCGACCTATGCGTCTACTGCCTCGAGGTTAGTTAACACAACCCCACCTAGCAAATCGAAGGCCCAGAAACAACCCTAAATGCTAAAGCTCCATAAGGCGCTCAGCCCAGGTAACCCAGGTAACTGACTAAAGTCTTACATCCATCCTTAAAAAGAGCCGGAGGTAAGTTACTTGGGCTGGGCGCCTTATGGAGCTTCAGTACTTAGGGTTGTTTCTGGGCCTTCGATTTGCTAGGTGGGGTTGTGTTAGCTGACCTTGAGGCACTCGATGCATATGTCGGTGTTGCTGGATTGTTGATCGATTTCGATAGACCATTTTCCAAACTGGTCATAAAATAATCTGCCATTAATGAACCAGAGGAAGATCCCATGGCATTCCTTTCTATCTGTAGATTGAGTCTTTGAAAGGGAACTATACGTTAAGGGTGCATACCAATAGTAATTCCATCAAATAAGCAGTTTGTATTCGGGTGTTATATTTTTGAGTTATCTAACACAGGTTCTGTCCAAAGGGGTTCTACAGATGATATACTGCAAAGATTTAATTAGTCTCAATGACCTAAAATCCTTTCTTTCCCCTTAATTGTCTACTTTTATTACAGCTCATACGTAAAAAGGCTCTGGCTGCACAGATAAACGCTGAGGCAGAAAAGTATGATAGAGATGCAAAGAATGATACAGGTTATGATGATGCAGAAGCTGAAGATGAACTTGGTTATTCAGAAGAAGAATACACAAGCTCAGATGATGAAGTTGCACCCAAATTGAAACCAGTATTTGTACGTGCACGTGATCGAATTACTTTGCAAGCGAAACACAAAGCAGATCAACTCGCTCAAGAGACTGAAGCTGAAGTAAAGCGGTTGGCGGAGGAACGTCGTAAAACAACACTGAAGGTTATTTATTAATTCATTGATTTCTCCCAAGTGTACTAATAAGGTTTTTCAAGATGTTTAATTTAGTCTACTTCAAATGTTATGTTGATCTCATATGAATTCTGCGTGTTGACACTTCTTTGTACCTGGTTGTGTTGATTAGGGAATACTCCTGTGTGGCAAACCGTTTTTTATCTTCTATACTTCTCTATGTTATATGACAATAGTTGTAGTAGTACTTTGTGCCATAAATATTATTCATCCAGGCTACATTTATTCAATATGATTTATGTCACAAACAATAGTGAAATTTATGTTTTTACCTACCAAGAACAGTGCAGTCTCACGTGCGCACACTGTCACACACACACATCACAGGTAGTACTAGTCGGAATAGAAATTAATAGTATGAAAACAACACCATTGAATTAAAAAATCTTTTCAGCCTACTTTCATATGAAACGTAGCGTTTAGCCATTGCATTTGAATTACTTGCCTGCAGAGTTCTTTCGTTATCAAATTTATTTTAGGTAATGTTTTCTGTTTATAGATGGAATATTATTTATAGAGACCATGAATAGATGTACAATCTCATTAGGCATAAAGTATGAAAGTCGTTATAAACTTCTTACAAAATTGAAAAAAATTCTATACTGTTCTCACAGTTGTCTTATTTACACTCAGCGAACAAGTTTGTTTTTGTTAGAATCATTGTCAAAAGTTACACAATCATATTTAACTACAACTGTTGTCTACATTTAGTAGAAAGAAAAGTCAACGTGACTTGGAAATTATAACTCTTAAAGGACTGCAGCTAGGAAAACGGTAGTGAGAATAAAAACCTATGACAAAATGTATCTATTGAATTCGGAGGTTTGTGAAGATTTAGTGGTTTTTCAAGTTGGTATTCATCATAGACTGACATCGGTTTGAGGAAAATTGGAAACCTGAGAGCACTGGACAACTGTTTCATCCTAGTATGGGACTCCTCAGGAGTGCTCACCCATGACCCCGCCAGGGATCACTGGTGACCAGCTTCAAAAGGTGGTCCTTGAAGTTCCAATGCGAACTTGTGACCGGTAGTGCGAACCCGTTGGACTTGAGGACAAATATTCACTCTATGTTGTGAACTGACAGAAGTTGGAAATATGGACCATTGGATACCGACTCAGTGACGCAACGGTGACGCCGCTGATCACGAGACCAGAAGGTCCTGGGGTCAGCCTTTGGCGAGATCATACGTGCGCACTACTGAAGAGTCCCGTGCTACGACGAAACAGTTGTCCAGTACTATCAAGTTTCCAACGTTCCTCCAGGTAATGACAGTCCATGATGAATACCAACTTGAAAAATGTATCTGAGTCAAGCTATGAAGAATATACATTAACTTCAGTAAGCGCTTGTTAAGGAATGGAAAAATTAATAGTTGAGCTGGAAACTTACATAGAGATGGTGGTGAATGGTTTGTAGTATGCTCATCTTTTGGCAGGTTTTCTTCGGAAATATTTTAAGCAGAATGTAATCCCCACCTCAGATTCCAGTGTTAACCACTACCAAAAAATTCCACTTCAATAAGTTCTTTAAGTTTGTCTACTCAAATAATCACTGGGACCATTATACGCCTATTATAACTAATCATGATCTATTTAGATGCTGGAAATTGAACTACGTCGTGAAGCTGACGAGGCTCATGCAATAGAAGATGCTCTTGATGCATTGGATTCCGATGAAGGTCAAGGTAATCCTCAAGCAGAACAAGAAGAATATGAGAAATGGAAGGTTAGAGAGTTAAAACGTATTCGACGAGATCGTGAGATTCGAGAAGCAGTTGTCCAAGAAAAAGCAGAGGTTAGACTACATTAAACAAATTTTTAAAAAGTCCTAACTGATACACTTTATTATTTCTATATGATTGTCATTTATACTCAAAGCCACTTTTTATTGTAAGTTTTAAACGTATGCATTACTTTTCGAGAGAGATCTTCTGCACTCAGCATGTGGAACAAGGTCCGGATTTTCAACACCAACTCAGTCAAGTCAGTGCTTCTGTATAGTTCAGAGACTTGGCGCGTTACGAAAGAAATTTCCAATAAACTACAGACATTCATCAACAACTGTTTACGCTCGCTACTGAAGATCAGATGGCCAGAATGGTGAAAATAAGCAACAAGGAGCTCTGAGAAAGAACCAACCAAGAACCTATCGCTCAACAAATATGCAGAAGGAAGTGGAGATGGATTGGGCATGCACTGAGAAGGCCGACTGGGGACACCACGCGTCAGGCCAAGCCGTCGAGTGGAATCCCCATGGGAAGCGACGAGTTGGGCGTCCGAGGTGAGAGTGACATGGAGGAGATCGTGCGAGGAGGAAATGAGAGCTTGTGGGCTGTCGTGGAACCAGGTTCAAAAGATCTCAGAGAACAGAGTCCACTAGGGACGTGCTACTGAAACCCTATGTTCCACTAGGAACCCAAGGGACTAATAATAAATAATAAAAAAATTACTTTTCGACTGCTATGGCATCCACCTACCTCTCAGTGTATGTATTGTTGGTATGCCAATATGTCTTATGAATGATTTGGGTTTATGAATTGTTAATCTTTCTCAGTTTTTTCCCAGTGTTTATGCATAATTGTTAGTAGTATAGATCCCTCTAAAAAAGAAAATTCAGAATGGCATAATGAGGAAAGGATTTCTATTATAAATGTTTTTGCAAAAATATTTCTGTTCCCTTGGATAACATATCCTTTTGTTGGTTATTCAATCCATTTAGTTTTTATCTCTGAATTCAGCTTTTGTTTAAATCGTCGTATGTGTGAAGTTTTTTTTCTTCTAGTGAATACCATAATTGGATTATTCTTGGCTCTTACTTTTTGGGCAAGTTGTTCATGGATATGAGCCCCTATCTACCGACTAAAGTCTTAGATAACTAGATAGTTTTATTGTAACTTAGTTATTGAGTTACACAACGTTGTAATGAGTTTTTTTTTCTTTTCCGAATACTACCACATACCAAATTGCTTAGAAGAGAATTTTTTTTCGTCATAATAAATAACTATGTAAGGTGAAAGTAGATTGTTTTCGCCTTGCTTATAAATAATAATTTAGTATATTCAGCTGGGTTTATAAAATACCTTTTTCTGTGAGAGTGAAGAATTGCCTATGACTACAGCAATCATCTACTTGGATTTTTTTTATCATCTTTGGTATGATCTTTAGTCGTAAGTATTTTTCATATAGAAACTTTTTAGTTTCAAGCCTATTTTCTTGATTTATGTAAGGTGTATTAGGTTGTAGTGATTATTTTATATTCAGCACTATCCTAAATGTAGAAATAATTGAATGATTTATATCAGTCGACAGGAAATTCCTAACCGAGGTTTCTTATTTATTGACATGTATTAGCTGATTATATCTACACTCTTGGATAATCTTATTTTCCTTTGAAATTCGAACCTTTTTCTCTCATTGCTGTCATGGAATCAGAGATACTGTTTACTGGTGATTACCAGAATGTATGAAATTCAAGTTCTGTGCTTAATGTCGATTAATTTCATACAGTTCTGCATCACTCTGAACTTAATACTTTTGTCATCAATTAGTCAATGGACTTTGATTATTATTGATAAAAGACAACTAAACTTCTGTTTTTCATTACCAGCTAGTTACCAATCCACTCACAAACAGAACTAATCAAAGTTTTTATTTGTGATTAGTTATTTTATAGCATTTATTATAGTGTGTTAGGCATAGGAAACGACCATACAAACAGTAAATGTCTGGTAACGACCCTGTCAGGCACATGTAACACTTATTTTAGGTTTTTTTCGAATGTGTCTTCAATAGCTCGTTAGTAGTGTAAAATTGTTTCACTATATGATGAATGGGGTTTCGGCTTTTCAGATTTTCTTGTTATTACTCAATTTTAGGATTAGTTGAAATAAGAATGACTTTTTAAGAATAACTTAAGGCTAGTGAGTGGTTGAAATTGATGGAGATACGGTTGTGAGAAATGGTCACAGAGTAGAAGATATGAAACCATTATAGGGTTTTGATCACAGATATCTTCATAGCGTTGCTCACGTTTGATGGAATCACTGTGTAAGCAGTGTTGAGGTCAGGCGAAGGGTACTAGGCAAGGAAGGAAATTCAGTCGATGAGCTTGCGAATATTCATCGACTGAGGTGGCTTAAACATGCACTGCGCATGATGGGCCACCGCCTCTGTCTACTTGCCATGTTAGGCGGAGTTGGATTAGGATGAAAAAGAGTTCAGGGTGGCCAGACCAAAACATGATATATGTCTATGAAGTCTCTTACTGTTAGCCTGAGTCATGTGAAGAGATGTACACTACCTGGCTGGGGTCCCAGAGACGAAAGGAATCAGTAGTTGGGGATTCTTGGTGACATGGCTGAAAATTGGCCACAATGACGCAGATTTATTTACTCCCTGATACCCTCTGAAGCTTGAATAATCATACTAACCTTTATCTTCCGATTATTTACTCTCTCTCTCTCTCTCTCTCTCTCTCTCTCTCTCTACTTCATCTTCTTTGATATCACTGTTTTTGTATCCACCTGTTCTGTGTGTACTGTGAATTGTGGCAACTTGGACCGATTCACTTTTGTGTGAGGTTCTACATTGATTTTGCCGATGTTAGTCAGATACTTTTTCATAAATTATGTATATTCATATCATTGGAAAGGGATTATGAGAAATAATTTATGCTCAAAACGTCATGCAGTAAATAATGCTTCATCACTGTCTGCTGCATATCAGATAAACAGATCTCATATGGGATTACATTTAACCACAGCACCCAAGTTTTACATCTATAAATATGGTCTATTTTGTCGGCTACACTTATTATAACAACTTACAAGTGTGTTGAGTAGTTGTTGTATGTCTTCCACTTACCAAATTGGTCGCTTAAGTGTCTTCTTAAACTTTAGGGTATAAATATAGAGGATTGATGTTCATTACAAAGTCTGATTTTTATTCATCGTATATACAACGCCTTTTATAAGATAATTCTATCTCTATGAACTTAATTCTGTATCCTCTATTGATGTAGATTGAAAGAATACGTAATATGACCGATGAACAACGTCGTGAAGAATTCATCAGAAATCCTAAACTGGTTACCAACAAGTCAGTTAAAGGCAAATATAAATTTTTACAAAAATACTTTCATCGGGGTGCCTTCTTTGTTACTGCAACGGAGGATAAAGTGTTCCAACAAGACTTTACACAGCCTACTTTGGAGGATCATTTCGACAAAACCAAACTGCCAACTGTTATGCAGGTCAGTATTGTCTTATATTTCGAATTGGTAATTTTTTCTAAATAGTTCTTTTATTCTGTTTTTTTTATCGTTGGCTGGTTATTTTCTGACTTAATTTCAGTCATTTTGTAATAAATATCTACATATTTTACGGTTGGTTATGTAATCTGTTGTTGACATCAACAGTGTTGATGTCTCTGATATATTTGCTGAGAATTTCTTTGTATCATGTTTCGAACTTCAACTATAAAACCAATAGAGGTCAGAAATCAGTGTTCATTGTGTTAGTGGATGGCGAGATCCCTTTTCAGACTGTTTTCTAACAGCAGTGGAAACTGTGGATCATCTAAGAAGTTATTGTATCCTAGCGGTCTTCGCTAATTGAGTTTTGTAAACAGTTGTTGACTGAGAATCCCCGAAGTTATATCACTGATGAGTAATATCATGTAGAAAGATTACAAAAGTCGGTTATCGGCAACACCGATTGGCTAATCTTGCTAGTGATCTAGACAAGTTTAAAGAATTCAGTAATTAGTTTGTAAAATATTGTCAATACAAGTAGCTTGGCAGTAATGTATTGAAATAAAGTCATTGAATCAGTTTTCGGGATCGGCCTTTTAACTGTTCAAATGACTGACTGACTAGAAACGTGCGGGCGATTAACACTTCCCGCGGAAGGCTAGTGCTTCTTAAAGTACCTGGAAGAGAAAGAAATTTGTGTGACCTCAGAGCCCATGGGACATCTACTTGAGGCTGATCATGTACGGTTTTTTTGATCCCACGACAAACTGTCCTGCAGTATGGGAGATGTAGTGAGACATATATCCTGTGGTTTTGAATCACCACTAACCACTGATGACTGATCTAAGCCACCATAATGCATAATCTCATTGCTTAAGAACATGTTAGGAGTAGCTGCTTTTTGTCTAACCACTATCCAGCAGACCTTTCTGATATGGTAGGACCTCAAGGGAACAAGCGTTCCGCCAGCATAGCTCGTTGGGTCATCGTGATATACCAGCCCGACCACCACGTCAAGGTAGCAGCTGTCGGTCGGGACTGTTCAGACGAACGAATTTTGATATTCATAGTGTCCAAATAGGTATAACACAATGATCTCAACGAAAAAAATTTCTTTTTGTGAGTATTTCACTTCCAAAGGCTGTACAGTCGTAAGTCGTACAGTCTGTAAGTTGAGGTAGACAACAACTAAGTTGTTTGTGATTCCATATTAGATTTGTTTATTTGATATGTAGCGCACAGTGATACTACAGTATTATAATTATTCAGTAATACTGTATCACTGTGCTCTATATATCAAATAAACAAATCTAATATGGAATTACATTCTACCACAGTGCCCAAGTTTTACACTTATATTAATGAAGTTGTTTGTATTTTTTTCCACTTTTACAGTAAGTGGAATTGTGAAGCGCATTATTATGAGTAAGGGTATTTCGTGAATCATCAAATCAACTGGAAAATATAGGGGACTAAAGGTCAAAGACCTGAAGTAGGAGGCGAATGAGTGAATAGATATAGTATGATTTATTGATACCTGTAATTTCCCATTGTTATATTGAATCGAATTGCTCGACTTCTGTTAGCAGACGTGCTTTTGTGCGGATGTCTCAACACCCCTTAGGTATTCGCTATGCCTTCTTTTTACTTGACGGGCTGTTGTGAAATCCATGACGCACGTTCCATCCTATTTAGAACTCGTCAGCGGTATATACCTGCGCCCCAGTGAGTGATGCTGTTTCCGCTGAGACCCGAATCTAGTGCTCGTCACTTCAAACGCCAACAGAAAATTACGGATATCAGTCAATAATAAGTGATACCCGTCGTACAAGAGGTGACCCTCATTGGCCTAGTGAATAACTCTTTTGGCGTTTGATGCGTTGGGTACTGGGTTCGAGACTCGGTGGGGATATCATCACTCACTGGGGGTGCAGGCACATCCAGCCGACGAGTCCCAAGTAGGACGAAACGTGCGTTCTTGATTTTCCCGCTACCCACCGAGTAAACTATAATAGATATGGTGTGATTTCATTGGGAAATAGTTGAGTGAAGATTATGTGAATATCAGTGAGACAAAATGTGATACGATAGGGATCAAGAGAGATAAAAATGGTATGTGATAAAATAAAATGGATTGAAATCGAATAGTATAAAAGCAAGGATGATCTAGCTGCATGTAACATGTGATCACAATGATATGCTTGGTCCAACACAACTTTGGACCACTTCCATATGTGTTTACCAATGCACCTGCTCTTGTAGAGCTGGTTAAATAGACCGCACAAAGCGTATTCTGTTCAAAAGCATCCCCAAGCACTATCCTTCATGGCTGTCTAAATAGGAGTTTAAAGCCATCAACAGCTCGATTCTTGCGCATTTGGTTCACGCAGCTCACTGTTCTCAGCAAGTCTTTTTTCAAGGTCATTTATAGAGTGAAAGCAGATATTTCGAAGCGAGCGCGTATTCGCCGGCTCAGCACAGCAGAGGCTTCGGCAATCCAGTGATACAAGCCTGATCTTTGTTTTTAAAAGAGATACATTCAATCTCCAGGTATGCCTAGGTCGTAATCTCCCCAAGACAGTTTATTCATTTCTTTTTTCTTTAGTATAATCCTATAGGCAATTTTTGGTGACCTCGACCTTTTTTTGACTTTGTACTGACCCAGTAGCCATTTATGAACATATATATTTTGTTGTAAGTATGATTACGATCGTACTACTTTGAAAATAATTGGTCGAACAGAGATTTTTTTGCGCTTAAGCGTCCTTTATTCATTTTTCAGTATCTAATGGGACTGTTTTGATAATTTAAAATTCGCCTTTTTTAAAATTGAATATTAACCAATTTTTAGGTTAAAAACTTTGGACGTGCTGGTCGAACTAAGTATACACATTTGGTAGATCAAGATACAACTGTATTCGATTCCCCTTGGTCAACAACTAATCCACAGAATATGAAATTTCAGTCAACCTATGGTGGGGGTTTCAAACAAATCTTTTCAAGGCCAGGTGTATCCAAACAGAAAAAGAAGACTGGTTAACTTATTCATCAATGCTTTGTATGTAGGTGTACATAGAACAAGTTGGAAATTTCTTTTACCTGCTTGTATAGTTTTGATCCTTTTTTTCTGTTCATATATGTACACGATTAATTTGAATAAATGATAATAATAATTTTGCTAGTATCAGGTATATCCTGTTTGTTGAGTTTCAATTTAACACCAGTTTAATTTAATAATAACTAGGGGGATGGCTTACAGTCTCAGGATGGACACTATCACCAACTGAGATGCAGGTTTATCCAGCTGATAAATCCTAAGTATGATGCAATGCGCTTGCTGAACTTCACAGTCAGTCACGATTAAGCAAATTAAATCATATTCAAACTTAAGGCAGTATCTGTAAGATGATGCTCCAAGACCGGTCTGTAACCTCTCTCAGTTCAATGGCAAGGAGTAAAGTGGTGGAGAGCTGCATCAGCTTACGAAACGGAGTGGTCACTGACAAACTCTTAGCTCGGGTACAAAAGGTCCGTTTGGCATTTACCAACTTCCGTCACCTGTAGTGTCGAGTATGCTACGAGTATGCTACTCAATGATTCTTTCTGTCCTGTAGGCGATATGAAGTGGTTACAAAGTTGCAATCATAGGTGTCCTCGTAGCATTGCTCTCTTTTGGTGGAATCATCGTGTGAGAAACGTTGAAGTCAATCGAACATAAGCAAGTTGACTGATAATGTGAACCTTAGTCGAGTGAGATGACTTGGACATGCACTGCGCATGCTAAGCCACCGTCGATGTCATGTTGGAGGAAGTTGAATAAAGTTGGGAGAGGCTTCAGGCTTTCATTGCGACAGAAATCCTCTAGAACGGAAATAAAAAAAATCTTAGCTCATTGCTCAATAGTTAGCTTGACGTTTCGTGCTTCAAAAATTAACCTACTCTACTGCAGGATCAAAGTAATCAAATTTGATTATCCAGTTATTTGTTAATGCAATCAGAAATTAGTGAACCGCTTTTTTAGTGTGTTTTATTAGTATCTACATACTGAGCTCTTTACGGCTGGTACAAGGATTTTCGATGATATAAGTTAGGTATTGTCTTCTAATATTCCCACAGTTCAGTAAAACCGAAGGTCATCAGGGGACAGTTTTTATTCGCAGTCTCTTCAGTGTGCTCTGTATCACTGTTTGCGTTTTAGTACTCTCGATCGCTTTAACACTTGAATATGTACTCGTGTACTCAATTAAAAATACGATGGGAAATGCATCTCTGCAATGACATGTGCTAGGATAAAAGCCATATATAATCTATGAAGTTTGAGTATCTATTATTCCCCCAAAGTAGGTTGGTGGAATGTTACAAATTGGTTGAATATCAGGTACATAAACCAGTAAACTGGAATTAGCCATTGCCTACCACTCATCTTGATAAAGAAAGTGGTATCTACCTGTTTATTTTTAGTAATAAATTTGGTTTACTTCTGATGGACTACAAAATTTGGATAATGTTTTCATCAGAAACGTGAACACTTCCAATTCACAGCTTTTGGTTGTATTTTTATTGATTAGAGGTTAAAAATTAGTATGTATCCAGGAGGCTGTCCTTCTCATACAAGTTGATAATGCATTAATCCATGAGTTCAAAAAGAATTTGTCTCTACCATCATGAGAAAAAAATGTGTGAAACTTAAATAAGTATAATTACTCAGATTATTTTATTTATTCAAAAACAATTTTTAACTCAAGAGTTTGTTTTACTTTATAGCTCACTTCATTAGCTTCTCTTCGACACCTCATTGATATGACTGTGTGATTTAAACTTCAGAAACAACTAACTATCAGTGGATAAAAGTTAGTTAATATACACAACTTCGGTTTTTTGTGTATAGTTTCATATATATATATATATATATATATATATATATATATATATATATATATATATATATATATATATATATATATATATATATATATATATATATATGAATCTGATTAGTGAACAGGGGTTCGGATGGGATGCTCTGCACCTATGTAACCTATATCCATACCTGAGTCATGATTTGAACTCAAAACGAGTTATTTGCAACTGTTATCGCTAAACAACTTTACAATAGAGAAAAAAATTAAAGTCTACATTCCCTGTATTGATTCCAATGAGTTATTCATTTGTACAACTGCACAATAATTTATTACAATGAATCAAAGGATAGATTTCACATTTAAAAGTTTAGATTATGTGCAATAATTAATTTCAAGAAACACCATGATGTCCCCAAGAGCATCGAAGGCTGTCATACAGTGGAAACCAGTCTCCTCCAGGATCATAACAGCAAGGTTCAACTCAAAAGAAAGGAAAGTCACAATCGTACAATGCTACGCACCTACAAATAATGCAGATGAAGAGAAGAAGGAGGCAATTTACAGACAACTGCAATCAGCACTGGACAATACACCAGTTAGCGTCATCAAAATCCATTCTAATGGGTGAGGTGACATGAATGCCAAACTGGGAGTGGACAACACAGGAGGAGAACTAACCATGGGTCAAGAAGCACTCGGTGAGGTGATGAACGAGAATGGAGAATTGTTCGCAGAATTCTGCGCATTCAACGATTTGGTGATAGAGGCACTGTGTTCAAGCACATGGATATCCACAAAGCGATATGAATTTCACCAGATGGACACGCTAAAAATCAGTTCGACTTCATCTCAATTTCGAAATGGTGGAGATGCAACCTACTTGACACAAGATGAGATGAAGAAGGGGAGCAGATGTAGGCTCAAACCACTACCTAGTGCAAAGTGCAATGAACCTGCCTTCCAAATCAAGTTGAAAGCCTTCAAGGAAACTGGTGATAAACCACAGTTCAAGTTCAACACCCAGAACGGAAACTGAACTGAAGCACGAAACTATCACGGACATCTTCACGTCAGCCATCAAGACAAAGTGGAAACTTAGTTACCAGATGAAAGAAACAAAGGAAACAATGGGCCGATCACTTCAAAAAACTCCTGAATCTACCACTACCCGCAACTCGTCCAGAAATACCAGCTGCAGCCCCGCCACAGAACTACCAGTGAACACAACCCCTCCGACTAAATTCGAAGTCCTGATGTCCATAAAGCTAGTGAAATGCGGGAAAGCAACAGGACCAGATGGAATCCCGCCAAAAGCACTGAGAGCAGACGCAGGGACAACAGCGGACATGCTCACACCACACCACTATTGCAGAAGGCCTGGAAGGAAGGAAAGACTTCTGGCGACTGGAAGAAGGGCTACCTAAGTCATTGCAAGAACTGGCGAGGAGTCATCCTTCTGTCCACCCAACGCAAGCAATATATTAAGCCGCATCATCCTGGAGAGACTAGAGGATGCGCTGGATTCAGGGAGTACAAATCATGGGTGGACCAAATTGCAACGCTACGCTTCGCATCATCATAGGACGGAGTATAGAATGACAGTCAACTCTCTACCTCAACTTCATCGACTTTGAAGAGGCCTTCGATAGCGTGGACCGAGAAGTAATTTGACAGGCAGTTGCTTCAACACTGTGGAATACCACAAACTTTTATCAACCTCATTCAACAACTACATGAAGTCGCCATATGCCAGCGAAGTAATTGACAATGGGAAGCTCAGTGATGCTTTTGAAGTGAAGACATGAGTGAAACAAGTCTGTCTACTATCACCGATGATCTTCGTGATTGTAGTGGACTAGACTGGATCATGCAACAAACAGTGAGGAGCTGTGAGAAGGGGGGGATACGCTAGCAGGACCGATGAAAAGAACCTAGGATATTTGGATTTCGCCGATGACTTGTGTCTGATATCTTGTCACACAAACTCAAAGATCTACAGACAAAAACTGACAAGTTGACAGAAGAGGCGAGACAGCTAAACGGGACTTCAAGTGGATGTAGAGAAGACGGAGGTGATGAAGATACCCAACCAACGACAGCATCACCATTAACGGGAGAAACTTGAAGGAAGTAGTCTCTTCCACCTACCTAGGCAGAATCATTTCAACTACAGGCAGCACAGACGAGGACGTCAAAGCCAGGATCGGCAATACAGCAAGACAGGCGTTCATTAACCTGAAACGAGTGTGGAGATCTGCACTCAGCATGTGGAACAAGATCCGGATTTTCAACACCAACGCCAGTCAAGTCAGTGCCTCTGTATGGTTCAGAGACTTGGCGTGTTACGAAAGGAATTTCCAACAAACTACAGATATTCATCAATAACTGCCTACACTCGTTACTGAACTTCAGATGGCCAGATTAATAAAAATAAGCAACAAGGAACTCTGGCTGGCTGTCAAAGAACCAACCAAGAACCTATCACTCAACAAATATGCAGAAGAAAGTAGAGATGGATTGGGCATACACTGAGAAGGCCAACTGGGGACATCACGCGCCATGCCATGCCAGGTCATCGAGTGGAACCCAGATGGGAAGCGACGAGTTGGGCGTCCGAGGTGAGGGTGACATGGAGGAGATCGTGCGAAGGGGAAATGAGAGCTTGTGGGCTGTCGTGGAGCCCGGTTCAAAAGTTTGCAGAGAACAGAGCTCATTGGAGATGTGCTACTGAAGCCGTATGTTCCATTAGGAACCCAAGGGACTTGTTATAAAATAAATAGACACAGCTGAGAGCTCTTAACATTTTACCTCATATAAATGGTAGTTTTATGAGTAATGTACGCCACCGTATTTACACTAAACCATGCTTATCATATACTTCGGCTTTCATTTAATCTCTCATTTCCTGGTTAATCTTTCTCCCCTAAGTTACTAGACTTTTAGGTTATTCAGGATTACTGTTTTCGAAATTATTCCAAGAAAATTAGCTATTATATGTGAACTTATAGGATAACAGGAGTATTGATCACATTTCTATATATTCTCAACCGTGCCTATGTGGTGCTCATCTTGGATTTAAACTATGAACCAATGTATATATATGTATATATATATATATATATATATATATATATATATATATATATATATATATATATATATATATACATATGTTTGTATGTGAGTGTGACTAGTAATATTATTTATCTAGTCGAATCATGAGACGAAATTAGCGAAACATGTAAGAAAGTGATTTATGGGTAGGAAGTTCACTTGAACACTATCACAGTAATTATAATTCAACACTGATAGCATTTCGAATCAATCCACTAGTACTAGGGTGATATGGATCTGATTCATAAATAACTGCAATACACTGATGAACTCAAAAGGAGTAAAAGTACACTATTGAACTAGATCTTTTCCTTTTCTGATAAATATTGGTGTAATTTTCATTACTTAACTATGTATGAATTGATTTTGACCGTGTAAACAGAAGAGAACAAAATTTAAAAGTAACGTTAACTAATCATGGAACAACTTTAAAAATAATAGAAGAATTAAAACATGAGCCATAGCATACGAAATTCAATGTTCGCTAATTAGTTCTCACACATTTCAGTCACAGATATGATCGAATTGATGTATTGAAAGGAAATATTGTGCAAGGTGAGTATTCCTTGTTAATGGTTGTAATCATTATGGAAACTTTATTGATATTGGAGATATTTATTCTATGTAGACTTGTATAATTATGTTACCAATCGTCAGTTGTACTGCTTAGTAACTGATATTGAGATTGACTGAGGAAATCAATGTGGAGAGTGGGACACAGGTGCATCGGTTCAAGTTGTCACAACTCACAGTAGTACCCAAGGAACGGGTGTATGTGAAAGGATTGATATCAAAGAAGATAAAGTAGTGTGAGATAATAAACAGTCTGAAGATCAAGGTAAGTGCGACAATTCAATCTTTTGAAGGTGTTGAGGAGTGAACATGAGTGCACTTTTTGTGATTGATTTTCCCCCTTTTTGTATCAAGAATCAGTCCTCAACCACTGATTGGTGTCATCTCGCTGACTCTAACCAGGCAGTCTACTTCTCATATGATCAACATTAAGAGTCTTCATGGACACGTGGCATGTCTTTGTCTTGTCACTCTGAGCCATCTTCCAACAGCATTAGGAAATGCCCTGCAATTACTTTGGTTTATTAAGGACTCTGCCAAAATGATGACGCTTAGCTAAAGCTTTGCCAAGATGGATTGTTGAAAAAGCTGTTTCTAACCTGAAATGATGAGAAATAACAGGACCTAAGATTCGCTCCACTACGTTTTTAAGGATGGAGGTGAAGAATTTCTGGACATTTAACGCAAGCATTAGGTAGTGTTTGGAAACTAGAAGTTGTCCCATCACACTGGTCTACTTCACTGACCATCCCAGTCTATATGAAAGAAGTCTTCTCATGAGAACCGTAGAGGAATCAGTTTGCTTAAAATAGTGCTGAAGAACCTAAGGCCCAAAGTTACATGATGATTAACTGGAGCTTAGCAGCAACTAAATTGAGAAAACTAGACGGGTTTCAGACTTGAACTAAGATGCAGTGATCAGATTTTCACCATTCGATACGCTATAGAATACAGGTATACTTATCGGCCAATGGGAGACACTCACCATATTTCTTGATCTGAAGGCGGCATTTAACACTGTCAGCCATGAAGTGTTATGGTAGTGTCTAGTTGTAAAAGCAGTACTGAGCAAGTGTGCAACGCTAATCAAAGCTCTCTACTCAAAATCGCGCGGCCATGTAAGGACTTATGGACAGTCCTCATCTGAACTGACGACAACTTGTAGCGTCTGTCAGGATGCCGGACATCACTGTTCCTGTTTAATTTCGTTACAGATGTATTAACGAACATTAACTAAGGTATCTCTAACTTTACATGGATTAATCTAATCTCTGGAGGGCATTTGGCTGAGTTGAACTACACAGACGACGTTTGTAGTGGTAAGGGAAGATGCTGAACGCCTTGAACAGAAATCTTTGTACGTTTAGCATGCGTTTTACATCTGTCAGATGCAAGATCTTGCTTCAGGACTAGTCTGCAACCACTCTCAGATAGGGAGTGAAGTGCTCGACTACCTACCTACCCATAATTGCCAGACCACGAGAACCATCCACCAAATCTTCAGAAACTTGAAAGGTAAATTTTATGAATTCACCATATTGGTCGAATGAGGTTGGACGAGTAACCACACATGAGCCTTGTACACCTGTCCCGAAAACAGCAAACATCCATGGCCCGAGACGCTAGAGAGAGTTGTGAGGGCGGTTGACACAACCCGGCTGCCCATATCATCCATGAGGTGTTTAAAGACAAAATTGGATCAGTAACACGGCTTGTAGGAAGCCTGTTTTAGGCCGGTCAAATAGTCTTTTTGGAGGCTTCAGATGTGCTAGTTTGTCCGACTATAAACCCATACCGCTCGCACCGGAAGACTGCAGAGCCGAGACAAGTGTGCTGTTCTTAAGGTTAACTTATCCTAACTCCCACTTCTAGTAGGGAAAGCAGTATTAGCATGGTACTACTAATCATCCGCGGGAAAAACCTTATTGCTAACAGCACGACTTTGTTCTTAGACCTGCATCATAGCGTAGTAATGTATACTATAATGGCAAATGCTTTTTGTCTTGCTACTATCCAGCAGACCTTTTGATATGGTAGGAACTCAAGAGAACAAGCGTTTCATCAGCATAATTCGTCGGGTAATCGTGATACGCAACCCTGATTATCAAATAAGTGTTGCAACTATCGATCTGGATCAGTGTCTAGGGAGTAAAAGCCTAATATTTTGTCTCACAGTATGCTGCTGACTGCAGAATTTTAAAATCCCATTAGTGTCAATAGTCTATAAATAACTACTATTCATCCAACATATCATTTTTATAAATGAAATTTAACACTCTACTCTTCGGAAAGTAATGATATGCTTGACAGTGTTTTTGTATCGAATCACATCCTCAAATCAAAACGTTAAAAAGGTTGACCGGCTTCATGAGGAACCTTCCATCATTTGATTTAGAAAGTTTAATGCACTAACTTAAGAGAATTTGAATTTTATTATTTCCTATGTACTTCTGATTTACGCGGCTACTGCTGTTCAGTTATTCTTCCTAAAACGCATTATCGTCATTGTGTCTATTGTTAATAGATAACTGAAATACAGACAATATCGAGGTGTCCGTGCAGGAACTCATATGCCAATAGGGATCGTTCACTTAGGTCTAATCAACGAGGAGATAATACGAACAACATTAAAACCAAACCAGTTACATAAGAAGTGACTATCGTGAGTCGGTGATCTGGTAGATAACGCTCTGGCATTTGAAGCGATCGGTCCCGGGTTCGAGTTGGGACAACATCGCTCACTGGGAAGCATGGATAGCCAACTGACGAGTTCCAAATAGGACGAAACGTCCACCATGGATTTCACTGCTAGCTACTATCCAATTGTACATAGTCGATTGAGTTGCACGAAAATTGATATTCCTCGACTGAAGTAAATCCCTTCACTTTATGTGATATCGTTTCTTCAGTAGATGTTGTTATTCATTAACCAGCGCAGTCAAACTGCGTGTCGAGAACGTCGTCTTATTTGAGCTGTAATAGATTCTTTGAAATATTGTACAATAAATTTAAACTACTAATAAGTACTGCAAGCACATTGTCCAAATAATGTTGGGATTAAGCCTTAGATATACTCAACAATACTGATTACCATCAAATAGACTGGAAAAAATTAGCAATACAGCAGACTAAACATAAATCCCAACCCTATTTGGTTGATTGTCGAAAATAATTGTTGAGTTCTTATTTATTATGACGACCAATTAGGTAGGTAGACTAATAGTTTGAATTTGCACCACTCTTGGACATTGAACCAAATCGGTTAATTAGCTTGTTAAAACACTTCTCAGTATGCATTGTACAACCACTTTATTTTATAATACAATATTGGATTTTCAACTTGATAAAGAACAAAAGACAGTGTGAGAAGGAGGTTACATACTAATATTGTCATGGTAAGAAATTTGAGGAATTTTGACTAACATCTGGTCATCAGCCAAAATAATATCTCCATTGAAACCAGTTGATTTAGCTTGATCCAAAATGATCTGTAGACTTGGTTTACTTTTCTTATCATTCTTTGCCTTCTTTGTACAACTGATATGCTCGCTGTGACCATCTATTAAACAATACAGGAAACAAAATGGTAATAAGATACAACAGTTTTGACAAAGTATTTGACTGCTTGAAGAATAGTAATGTGATAGAAAGAAAGTGTAGATTATTCCACTAATAAAACAGAAATAGTGCTGTTTATAACCCTTAGAAATGAATAAAAATTTTGTTGAAGTCAGTTGGGTAACATATACTTGAACTTATAGACTGTCAGTGTTCAAAAGAAATATGTACAGTTCATTTCTATGTCATGATCTTACAAATGTAAAACATCTTATGTGTACTTATTGAAAGATACACTTCCCCATCTGACTACTTTCATGAGTCTACCTATTCACTGGTTGGTGTGAAACCAGGTATGTAGCTCGATTGACGCACATACTTTTCAAACGGGTTAGAAAAAATTACCATTTCTGGTTGCAAAAGAGCTCCAAGTGGCCCCAAGGTGCAATAAACTGAACACATTGTTACTACTGGTCACAGTATCACAATTAATTCAGTGTTTATTGTCATCTACAGGGTGAAAAGAGACTTACCAAAAATGGAGCGTTTCTATCTTCTCTGAAGTGTAAAACCTCTTGTCATATGCATGGAGTAAGTGAAACTATGCTCACAAAAAAAAACTTGTTCAACCTTTGTTGCTACCTTGGACTTGATAAACTACTAAAGAAAAACACATTTCTCTCTTACTATTCACAATTTTGTTATATTTTATGATGCAATTGAATCATTCAATATCATCTTCATTTTGTTTCCATTCTACCCTTGATTATGATTTATCTTAAAAGTTATTTTTTTTTTACATATTATGCGACTCCACAATCAATTAGTAGGACATTTTTCTCAGCAAAACTTCACTTGATCTTTACCAGTCGTTAATTGTTCTGCATTCGTATAAAGGACAATATCCCTCGACAAGTCACATCTATGTGGCCCTCGCGACATGATAATTGACATGTTTTTGCAATTAGGATATCACAAATGATGTTCGATGAAGTGCAAACTAATCACTTGTAATGATACCGTATGACTCATGACTTGATACGTCCGTAATTTCCATTGTGATATCAAAAACAAGATATTCAGCTAGTCGTAAATTGTTCTCCATTTGTGTAAAAGACAATATCTCTCGATAAGTCACATCTATGTGTACCTACCAGTTCACTTGCTACTGTGGAGCACGGTACATCGGCCGTAGTCACAGGCTGCTATCAACACGTATTTATTATTATGATTAGTCCCTTGGGTTCCGAATGGAACATAGGGCTTCAGTAGCACGTCTCCAGTGAACTCTGTTCTCTGAAATCTTTTGAACCTGGCTCCACGACAGCCCACAAGCTCTCATTTCCTCTTCGCACGATCTCCTCCATGTCACTCTCACCTCGGACGCCCAACTCGTCGCTTCCCATGGGGATCCCATTCGACGGCTTGGCCTGACGCGTGGTGTCCCCAGTCGGCCTTCTCAGTGTATGCCCAATCCATCTCCACTTCCTTCTGCATATTTGTTGAGCGATAGCTTCTTGGTTGGTTCGTTCCCAGAGCTCCTTGTTGCTTATTCTCACCATTCTGGCCATCTGATCTTCAGTAGCGAGCGTAAACAGTTGTTGATGAATATCTGCAGTCTGTTGGAAATCCCTCTTGTAACGCTCCAAGTCTCTGAACTATACAGAAGCACTGACTTGACTGGCGTTGGTGTTGAAAATCCGGATATTGTTTCGCATGCTGAGTGCAGTGCAGAAGATCTTCACACTGGTTTCAGGTTAATGAACGCCTGTCTTGCTTTTCCGATTCTGACTTTGACATCCTCGTCTGTGCTGCCTGTATTTGAAACAGTGCTTCCTAGATAGGTGAAGGTCAACACGTATACGAGAATATATTTCGGCCTGCTTTTATTATAAGGGTCAAAAGAAATGCATCAGAAGTTCTATCCTTAAGCATTAAATCGATTCCAACCATTCAGCAGACCCAAACAAGGATTTCAAGGGTTGTCTATCGAATTCGCCCAAACACCTAACGTTTCCTCTGTGTTCAGCTTCTAAAAACGGTAGAGGCGCTGGCTATCCATGAACTGAAGCGTGACCTTTATGTGCAAAAAAAGTATGTACAGTCTTTGTCTCTACCCTGGCCTTAATTTATTTCAGTTTTGGTGCACTTCATCCTCTTTTTTCGTTTTTCACCCCTTTTCTCTTTGTACTCTTATATCGTCATTATCACTCTGTTTTTTGTATCTATTAGTTTTTTGGGGTGTTATTTCATTCTCACCCCTTTTTAATGTATATGCACCTTATAAATAATTTAAAATCTTACGTAACCCCTTTTTGTTACCATTCGACCTTTATGTCATCAACTATCAACATTATAAGTATCACCACCATTATTATTATTATTTCAACCCCCATTATTTCAGTTAGATCTTCCTCACGGATTACAGTCTTTAAATATCATATATATATATATATATATATATATATATATATATATATATATATATATATATATATATATATATATATATATATATATATATATATAGGAATGTACAGCTTGAGAATAAATTCCTTGAAAAGAGTCCTCTTCGTTGAATATCTTATTTTTGATGTCACAATGGGAATAACGAAGATCCAATTTAATCAATTGTAATAATACTTATAACTCATATTGCCTCCTACAGAAGAGTAGGCAAAAGGCCAAGATCTGTGTCTACATTCATTCATTTATGATACCGAGTGCTGTAGGTAAATATAAATCATAAGGTTGACCTTCAAAGTCTGGAAGAACTTCATAGGTTTCGTCAATTAGTTGTCTAATAAAGTTCAAACTTCTAAATTTTTTTCATTTCAAGACACTTGGGTATATTGGTTAAATTAGTTTCACTAAATTCTTATATCAACCTGCAAATCAATATAGTTACTAACTTACACTGAAGCTTAACTATCTGCCAGTGCATCAAATTTTTGACTTGAGGTTTTTCGAAGTCGTCCCTTCAACTTTATTTATTTGCACTTTCATTCCTTACAGAGCACCGGGCCGGTAACCCGGTGGTCACTGGTTCGAATCCGGCGGTGGTCCAGGTTTTCATCTCACCTTCAGTCATCACCTAGTACAAATACTAGTCTGCCAAACTGCGGCTATCTTAGACAGTCAAATCAAAACATTTTCAACTAACTTGTCTTACTTATATTGCTAATCCTTTGATTATTTATCGGCGTTCTCACCCTTTTTTAATTTATATGCACTTTATAAACGATTTGAATGTCTTATGTAACTCTTTTTTGTTACCATTCGACCTTTATGTCATCAACTATCAACATTATAAGTATCACCACCATCATTATTATTATTTCAACCCCCATTATTTCAGTTAGATCTTCCTCACGGATTACAGTCTTTAAATATCATATATATATATATATATATATATATATATATATATATATATATATATATATATATATATAGGAATGTACAGCTTGAGAATAAATTCCTTGAAAAGAGTCCTCTTCGTTGAATATCTTGTTTTTGACTTCATAATCTATCCGGTTAATTATATTGGGTTTTTTTTGGCTCTTTTAATGATTAATTTTTAATCATTCAACTTGATCTTTGTTGTAACTACTATTTAATACAGTTAAACAAAAATGTATAAATTACGATTGCACAGCTATTGACAATGAAATCACTTAAAAAGATGTCTTCTTGTTTTCTCTATTATTGATTGTATCGTTTTTTATTTATTTTACATTAGGTAGTTTTTTTTCTATTGTTTCATATGTTTATTCATCGAATTTCTGATATTTCTAGACTCTATTCTTCGCCTTAAATAAAAATTTGTCATATCTTATCTGATGGACTCCAACACTTAATCAGAAATCTATTGAAATTTTTTTTTTATACATTTACAAATGTAGCGGTTGATCAAGAAAGTGATTATTTTCATTGTAACCGCCTACTTTGCATAACTTATAGCCCTATAGTTGAAACCTTTGTTTTTGAATGCATTGCAATCGTTAAGGTTAAAAATAGTCTCTCATTGTCTAAGAACATTTACAAAAAAAAGGAATAAAATCCACCAGAAGTACATTAGCAAGTGTGATCTTTATAGAATTGTATAATGAAGGAGAAAAGTGTATTCAACTAGTCCATGAATAGGTTTCTTTCAACATGACTGTATTCTGCGAAAAGTTCAATCATTGCATCTTTTTACACGGAAGAAATTTCCTCGTAGAACAGGAATCGTAAAAAATCAATAAAAAAGTAACTGGACTAAGGTACAAAACTTATCCGATTCGACTAGATTTGCTTGAGCCCAAAATTACATAATATAGACATGATTACTAACTCCATCATCACGATCTGTTAGTTGTAAGATCGGCTTCTTGGGGAAGTAGCAATCGCCTCCTTCGATTGCTGCTTTCAAAATGAGATTGAGTGTCTACCAAAGATTCAACGGTACACAAAGACTGTACCTCAAGAAATTTCCAATCATCTTCTACACTCCGAATATCATCAGTAATAGAAGAGAATAGATCTTAATAACTAATTTTTTTGTTCTCTGGATGACGACAATAATCGCAATCCAATTACCCAATGCAGGGTCATGTAGTACGTCATAAGGAACATTTCATGTGAAAGTAATGATGACGCTATCCAACTGTCTAGATCTAAGTAGTTGGATCTAGGTCTGAACCAAGGTCCTATTGCTTGAAAGTCAAGCACTTTGACTTTTTCATACAGAGATAGCTATTTTCAAAGTATGGATGTAAAAGTTAAGATTCATTTATTTTGCTCTTTTTATAGCAAGTATTTCGAAAGACACTTATCGATTAGCTTGCAGGTAATGTTAGTCTAAATATTATGCTGAGGTGAAGAACGCAAATCCTTCAAGAATACAATTTAGTGCATAAATTCAGTGAATAACTATGAATACTCGTTACATTACACGGGGCTGAACATATCGACGAGTTACTGCACGATAACACTATCTTAAATGATTTAAAACACGAT